ACCTAAATAAAGCCGTTCTGTATAATATACCATCCCGAGATAAGACTTCTAGTTGGACCCGCCAAGATTACAGGGCCACCAATCTGGGCCAAGTGGGAGCTCAACAGAGAGAATCAAACTTGGCAGAAAAAGTCACAATACTCATGTTGGGAGGTATAACTGCAGAGATACGTGTATGTACATGTGTGCATATATTACACACACACGCACACTACAGTGTGCATTCATGTGTTCCAATCCCCTCCATGTCATGTGATTCAGGTGTTCCAATCCCCTCCATGTCATGTGATTGATTCAGGTGTTCCAATCCCCTCCATGTCATGTGATTGATTCAGGTGTTCCAATCCCCTCCATATCATGTGATTCAGGTGTTCCAATCCCCTCCATAATCATGTGATTCAGGTGTTCCAATCCCCTCCATATCATGTGATTCAGGTGCTCCAATCCCCTCCATATCATGTGATTCAGGTGTTCCAATCCCCTCCATATCATGTGATTCAGGTGTTCCAATCCCCTCCATGGACACAGGTGTATACAATCAAGCCCCTAGGCATGCAGACTGCTTCTACAGACATTGGTGAAAGAATGGGTCGCTCTCAGGAGCTCAGTGACTCCAAGCGTGGTCCCGTGATAGGTGGCCACCTGGGCAATAAGTCCATCCGTGACATTTCCTGGCTACTAAATATTCCACGCTCAACTGTTAGTGGGATTATAACAAAGTGGAAGCCACTGGGAACAACAGCCACTCAGCCACCAAGTGGTAGGCCACGTCACATGACAGGGCGGGGTCAGCGCATGCTGAAGCGCACAGTGCGCAGAAGTCGCCAACTGTCTGCAGAGCCAATAGCTAAAGACCTCCAAACTTGGTGTGGCCTTCAGATGAGCCCAACAACAGTGCGTAGAGAGCTTCATGGAATGGGTTTCCATGGCCGACCAAGCAGCTGCATCCAAGCCTTCCATCACCAAGTGCAATGCAAAGCGTCAGATGACGTGGTGTAAAGCACGCCGCCACTGGACTCTAGAGCAGAGGAGGCGTGTTCTCTGGAGGGACCAATCACGCTTCTGTCTGGCAATCCGATAGACATGTCTGGGTTTGGCGGTGACCAGCAGAATGGTAAAAGTGTAAAGTTTGGTAGAGGGGGATTATGGTGTGGGGGGTTTTCAGGGGTTGGGCTTGGCCCCCTAGTTCCAGTGAAGGGAACTCTTAAAGAGACATTTTGGACAATTTCATGCTCCCAACTTTGTGGGAGGAGTTTGGGGATGGCCCCTTCCTGATCCAACATGACTGCCCACCAGTGCACAAAGCATGGTCCATAAAGACATGGAGGAGCCAGTTTGGGGTGGAGGAACTTGACTGTCCTGCACAGAGTCCTGACCTCAACCCCATAGAACACCTTTGGGATGAATTAGAGCGGAGACTGCGAGCCAGGCCCCCCCCCAAGACTCCCCCCCCCGACATCAGTGCCTGACCTGACAAATGTGCTTCTGGAAGAATGGTCCAACCTTCCCATAGACACCCTCCTAAACCTTGTGGACGGCCTTCCCAGAAGAGGTGAAGCTGTTATAGCTGCAAAGGGTGGGGCCAACTCAATATTGAACCCTACGGACTAAGACTGGGGGGCCATTAAAGGTCATGTGTGTGGGAAGGGCGGGGCCCACTCAATATTGAACCTTACACTCAATATTGAAGGTCATGTGCATGGAAAGGGCGGGGCCCACTCAACGGACTAAGACTGGGAGGCCATTAAAGGTCATGTGCGTGGGAAGGGCGGGGCCAGCTCAATATTGAACCCTACGGACTAAAAGGTCATGTGCTGGGGGGCCAGCTTAAACCCTAGGTCATGTGTGCGTGGGAAGGCCGGCGGCCCAATACTTGGGGCAATATGGTGTGTGTACGGTATACATAGATATGGGCAGACCCCTCTTCCATTCAGAGCTCCGCTCTCCATCTTGGTACGGATGAGATCCCGCCCCTTACCTCTGCACCAGGTACATCGTCAGGGTGACCAGGAACGCCACTCCAAATATCACACCGAACACAACGCCGATGATGAGACCTGAGGAGAGGACCAGAGAGAGGACTGACCACGGGAAGGACCAAGTACAGAACTGGGGGAGGGAAATGGGGTGGAGAACACAGACAGTGGGTGGGAGGGGAACATAGAGACCATGGAGGGGGGTGGGGAACATAGAGACCATGGAGGGGGGGTGGGGAACATAGAGATGAAGGAGGGGGTGGGGGACATAAATATGGTGGTGGTGGAGGGAAACAGAGATGATTGAAGGGGGTGGGGAATACAGAGACGATTGAAGGGGGTGGGGAACATAAATGTGGTGGGGGAGGGAGGAATACAAAGATGGTTGTTACCAGCATCACTCTGGGAATCGGGAGTTTCATGGGCGGAGTCGGCTCCTGACTTTCCTGAAAGTCAATCAGAGAATATTCTGTCATTCCGGGAATAAAGGGCGGATTATATTTTTGGGATTTCACTTTTTTTTTTATTTAAAGGACCAAAAAAGTTCTACAAATATTGGTGAGAAGTTCATCCAGTAGGCGGAGCTGTGATGTCAGCAAGTTTTGCAGAAGGTGATTGGATCTCCATTCCCATTACACACACAGCTGAATGTGCCAGGGGAAGGCCACGCCTCCTCCCTTCCTGTGGGTCACTGTCATGGATAAACACGCCCACTAGGACTAGCTAACCGAGGCGTGGTCTGTGAGGGGGGGATGGGGGTGGGAGGAGCATATGAGACTGGCCGGGATCCACCTTCACAGCCCGCACTGCCTCTGGCCACCACTAGAGGGAGACTCCACTGCAATCCAGCTGGCAGACCATAGACAGGCAGATACAAATCTTACATACAATCCGGTCACCCTGAGGACACACACCACACACCCCCTCCCCCACACTAGACACACCCACACACCCCTCCCCCACACCAGACACACCCACACACCCCCTCCCCCACACCAGACACACCCCACACACTCCTCCCCCACAACAGACACACCCCACACACCCCCCCCCCCACACACACACACACCCCCTTCCTCACACCAGACACACCCCACACCCACACACCTCTCCCCCACACCAGACACACCCCACACCCCTCCCCCACACCAGACACACCCCACACCCACAAATCCCCCCCCCTACACCATACATACCCCACACCCCTCCCCCACACCAGACACACCCCTCCCCCACACCAGACACACCACAAACGGTAGCCTGCCACCACCCAACAGTTTATCCGCAGAACGGTCTGCTGGGACACCCCACACCCACAGATCTCCGTCTGGCCGATCTGTTACCTTTTACAATCTGCACGCAATCTGCCCACACACAGTGCAATTGCATACAGATTGGCAATGAGCTGACCGAGCGTTTAAAGGCACTAAAATACAATACAATCTAATCTCTCCAATCTGATCTCTCTCAATATAATCTCTCCGGAGATATGAGCCCGAGTTTAAGTACACAGAAGTCACTAATTACTTTTAAGATTTAATTTCCCGAAAGTGGGCGGGGCATAAAATATGTACAATGTTTAAAAAGTTACAGAAATACAAGAAGACACACAAATGACTTCACTATAAAATAAAAGGGAATAAAACGTTTACCGAGATCTATCCTGCGACTGGAGCAAGTCAGAGAGTCCGCAATCCGTCAGTCGATAGAACCGCCTCCATACGAATCACCCCGTCCACACCTCAGGGACCTCAATTTATGGGGATATGGACGTAGGCTGGACATTAGCCCTCGGCCAATCAACTCTGGGGGGTGTTCCTGTACCTGCCCACAGGACGTTCTGGATACTGAAGTGCCCGGACCAGGAACGGTTCGGATCGGCGGGTCAGGGATAGGATTTCCAACACCAGCGCATCAGTCCGATCGTGACAGTACCAATCTGGCGCCACTTAACCATTTCCTGCATTTCTCTGGGACCCCACATAGGCCACAAATATGGTTTTTATATGAAGATGTAGCCTACAGAGTGCCCCATCAGAGGGAAGTAGTTTCATCTCTCTGCAACTAATATTGTATCTTCTATGTGAGATGAAACTGATTCCTGTGATCTGTGGAGAGAACTCAGAGCTGCAGACATTCCGAAGCTTCTCCTGCCTCCTCTGCCAGACATTCCGGAGCTCCTTCCACTTCCTCTGCCAGACATTCTGGAGCTCCTTCCACATCCTGCCTCCTCTGCCAGACATTCCGGAGCTTCTGCCTCCTCTGCCAGACATTCCAGGGCTTCTCCAGCCTCCTCAGCCAGACATTCCAAAGCTTCTCCCGCCTCCTCTGTCAGACATTTCAGAGCTCCTCCCACCTCCTCTGCCAGACATTCCGGAGCTTCTCCCATCTCCTGCTGACTCTACCAGACATTCCGGAGCTTCTCCCGCCTCCTGCTGACTCTGCCAGACATTCCGGAGCTTCTTCCATCTCCTGCTGACTCTGCCAGACATTCCGGAGCTGCTCCCGCCTCCTGCTGACTCTGCCAGACATTACAGAGCTTCTTCTGCCTCCTGCTGACTCTGCCAAACATTCCGGAGCTTCTTCCATCTCCTGCTGACTCTGTCAGACATTCCGGAGCTGCTCCCACCTCCTGCTGACTCTTCCATACATTCTGGAGCTTCTCCCGCCTCCTGCTGACTCTGCCACACATTTTGGAGCTTCTCCCGTCTCCTGCTGACTTTGTCAGACATTCCGGAGCTTCTCCCATCTCCTGCTGACTCTGCCAGACATTCCGGAGCTTCTCCCGCTTCCTGCTGACCCTGCCAGACATTCCGGAGCTTCTCCTGAATCCTGCTGACTCTACATCGGTGACACCTCCAGCCTAGAAGCTGCTCTTTCCTTCCAGATGCTGATTGGTGGACATCTGTCTGTGACTGAACCCGGAACCAGACCAGATCTGCGATGACCACTTACCACCAATCACGTCTCAGCGACCCTCCCCCACCAATCACGTCTCAGCGGTCCTCCCCCACCAATCACATCTCAGCGATCCGACTCTACATGGATGACAGACACATGGCTCCATAGGAACCTCCCACAAGGGGGCGGGATCTTCACAATATTATGATTATGATTGGACGGTTCCGGGTACAAACCTTTCTTTGGGGCGATGCAGAGGGCAGAGCAATTCTCCCGACTCTCAAATCTGTTCCCGTTCCCCTGACAACCCCCCCAAATGAAGGTGTCACAGACCGCCCTCTTCTGGTCGTAGTACCACATGATGATGTGAGCCAGGCAAGGCCCCGCCTCCATGGTGAGGTCACACACCGCACCTGCAGAGACAAGGCATAGAGATCAGATATAAACTCCTCCCACATACAGTGATGTCACCCCCATCCCTGACTCCACCCACATACAATGCTGTCTTCCCTCACCCCAACTCCACTCATATACGGTGATGTTACCCCTCACCCCCGACTCCGCCCACATACAGTGATGTCACCCCTCACCCCTGACTCCACCCACATACAGTGATGTCACCCCTCACCCCCGACTCCACCCATATATAGTGATGTCACCCCTCACCCCAGACTCCACCCACATACAGTGATGTCACCCCTCACTTCCGACTCCACCCACATACAGTGATGTCACCCTTCACCCCCGACTCCACCCACGTACAGTGATGTCACCCTTCACCCCTGACTCCACCCACGTACAGTGATGTCACCCCTCACCCCCGACTCCATCCACATACAGTGATGTCACCCCTCACCCCCGATTCCACCCACATAGAGTGATGTCACTCCTCACCCCAGACTCCACCCACACACAGTGATGTCACCCCTCACCTCCTGGTGGGAAGAGTCGGATATATTCGGTGGAGCAGCGGCTCATACACTCCTCCTCGGTCAGGAACACGTTGGGGGCGGATACGGAGTCTGTCATCATGATGGGGTCACACCGGTCCTGGATTCGGACATATGTCCATCGGAGGTTCGATCCGGATCCAGAATTCACCACCGACCCCTCACACTCCGAGTCTGCAGAATAAAACCAATATACAGAGATGGTGGAGGCCGATGGACAGAGGAATAGAGGATAATACAGGGGAACCAAGAGAAAAACTCGTCCAGGAGGCCAAGATGGAGAATGGAAGTTGGAGGGAGGATTGGAGGACGGGAGATTGAGGGGAGGATTAGAGGGCGGGAGAAGGAGGGAGGATTGGAGGGCGGGAAATTAAAAAAGGATTGGAGGACGGGAGATGGAAGAGAGGATTGGAGGATGGGGGGTGGAGGGGGGGATTAGAGGGCAGGAGATGGAGGATTATAGGATTGGAGGATGAGGGGGGGATTATGGGGCAGGAGATGGAGGATTGGAGGACAGGAGATGGAAGAGAGGATTGGAGGATGAGGGGGGATTAGGGGGAAGGAGATGGAGGATAATTATTATTATACAGGATTTATATGGCGGCAGAAGGTTTGCTCAGCGCTGTACATTATAGTGGGGACAGGACAGTAACAATACAATACATGAGGGGATTGAGGGCCCTGATCCTTGGAGCTTACAATCTAGGAGGGAGGGGATGGTGGTACAGGAGGAGATAGCTGTGGGGGACAGAGTGGGTAGGACAGAGGGCGGATCGAGGATTAGAGGATGGGAGATGGAAGGGAGGATTGGAGACGGAGGGGAGGACTAGAGAATGGTAGATGGGAGATGGAGGGAGGATTGGAGGACGGGAGATGAATGGAGGATTGGAGGACGGGGGGAAGGGAGACGGAGGGGAGGATTGGAGGACAAGAGATGGAGGGAAGATTGGAGGACAGGAGATGGAGGGAGGATTGGAAGACAGGAGACGGATGGAGGACGGGAGACAAATGGAGGGTTGGAGGAGGGGAGACAGATGGAGGATTGGAGGACAGGAGACGAAGGGGAAGATGGGAGATGAAGGGGAGGATTGGAGGATGGGACATGGAGGGGAGGGATGGGAGATGGAGGGAGGATTGGAGGATGGGGGCGGAGGTGGGATTAGAGGGTGGGAGGAGGAAGGGAAGATTGGAGGAAGGGGTTCCAAGGGAGGATTGGAGGATGAGTGACAGAGGGGAGGATGGAGGGGGGATTAGAGGGCGGGAGATGGAGGATTAGAGGATTGGAGGACAGAGGGCGGATCAAGGATTGGAGGATGGGAGCTGGAAGGGAGGATTGGAGGATGGGAGATGGAAAGGAGGATTGGAGGACGAGAGAAGGAAGGGAGGATTAGAGGGCGGGAGATGAAGGGAAGGACGGCAGATGGAGGGGAGGATGGGAGATGGAGGAAGGATTGGAGGATGGGAGACGGAAGGAGGATTAGAGGACGGGAGACGGAGGGAGGATTGGAGAATGGGAGACAGAGTGGAAGATGGGAGACAGAGGGGAGGATTGGAAATGGAGGGAGTATTGGAGGATGGGAGACAGTTAGAGGATGGGAGACGGAGGGAGGAGGATTAGAGGACGGGAGACAGAGGGAGGATTGGAGACCATGGGCAGGACTGGAGGGCGGGAGACAGATAGAGGATTAGAAAATGAGAGACGGGGAGGGGAGGATTGGAAGACAGGAGATAGAGCGAGGATTAGAGGATGGGAGATGGAGGGAGGATTGGATGATGGGAGACCGAGGGCAGGATTGGAGGGAGGGAGACAGAGGGAGGATTAGAGGATGGGAGATGGAGGGAGGATTGGAGGATGGGGGATGGAGGAAGGATTGGAGGACGGGGGACCAAGGAAAGGATTTGAGGACGGGAGATGGAGGGCATGATTGGAAGGTGGAAGATGGAGGGAAGATTAGAGGATAGGAGGTGGAAGGGAGGATTGGAGGATGGGAGATGGAAGGGGGGATTGGAAGGTGGGAGACTGAGGGAGGATTGGAGGATGTGAGATGGAAGAGAGGATGGGAGATGGAAGGGGGAATTGGAGGACGGGGGGGGTGGAAAAAGGGATTGGAGGATGGGAGATGGAAGGGAGTTCGGGAGACAGAAGGGAGGATTGGAGGATGGGAGATGGAAGGGAGGATTGAAGGACAAGAGACAGAGGGGAGGATGAAAGATGGAAGGGGGGATTTGAGGATGGGAGATGGAAGGGAGTATTGTAGGACAGGAGATGGAAGGGGGGGGATTGGGAGGACGGGGGATGGAAGGGGGGATTGGAGGACGGGGGATGGGGGGGGGGGGATTTGACGGGGGATGGAAGGGAGGGTTGGAGGATGGGAGATGGAAGGGAGGATTGAAGGACGAGAGACAGAGGGTAAGATGAAAGATGGAAGGGGGGATTTGAGGATGGGAGATGGAAGGGAGTATTGTAGGACAGGAGATGGAAGGGGGGATTGGAGGACGGGGGATGGAAGGGGGGATTGGAGGACGGGGGATGGAAGGGGGGATTGGAGGACGGGGGATGGAAGGGAGGGTTGGAGGATGGGAGATGGAAGGTAGTACATGACTGGATGCATTGAGGGCAGGAAATAGGAGGCTTATGGGCCTCCTCCACATACAGTCCTTAGAGCCTACACACCCCCAGAATATAAGTAGACGTCATTCGCTGGGCAGTTCTCCCCACCTCACTATTCTGTGTCAGCTCCCCCCACCATCCACCCCTCATGGCCAGCTGCAGTGAGCACAGACCAGGGCAGCAATGGGGTTCAGTGATGCCCCCCCTTAGTGTCTTTTAGAGCGGGTGCTGTGGGTGGAGATATTGGTGAGAATGGACAGTGATTGGCCTCGATGATTAATCCCTGAAAAGGTGAAACGTGTCGGAGGAGTTCTCTAGAGGTGAACAGGAGCTGCAGCCATCTTTTACTCTCTTCATTCACACTCATGGATCAGGGAGTCTGTGTGCAGACGGCCGCCATTTTCTTGAAAATGGACGATCTTGTTGAAATGGGCACAGAAGTCATCATTGTCTGTTTATTCCCATCTGAAAATGAGGAATCTATGGACTTCTTGTGGGGGATGGGATGAATGTTCTCGAACATACCTCCTCTACAGTTTGGTGGTTGGTTCCGTTCTGCTTGTGGTATCGGGACCGCTGCGCTGTGCAGCCTGCTGGAGACACCAGGAACTTCGCAGAGGTTCAAGCCAATATGGACTCTACCCTCATGGAGGTATGCCTGGGCAGCTGCACTACTATAGATAGTGATGGTGGAAGGACGCTGTTCACATTGAACTGTTCAGGAAAGTTACATGAACCGTTCTAAGCCTGGTGCAGGGGCGGACTGACAATTTGGGCACTCGGGCACTGCCCGAGGGCCCAGGGTCAGTAGGGGGCCCCATGAGAAGCCCCTAGTACCATTCATAGGCTTTTTTGGGTGTGGTTTGAGTGTGTGTGAGGACACGGGGGCCCCATGATCCCCTATTGCCCAGGGGCCCCATGAGTTGTCAGTCCGCCCCTGGCCTGGTGTGAAGTTCTACAAAGGGGTGCAGGTTGGTTCTGGCGTATATAAAAAACCCCGGCCCCAAAGATGGCAGTGTGTCTCCTGGTGCCTATCCAACTCACTGCCCGCCTCTGAGCTCCACAATTCCTTGCATCACTTACACACACTGGCCTGTCCTCCTCCTTCATCCTCCTCCTCTTCCATTCTCCCCCTCCATCCTCCTCCTTCTCCATCCACTTCCTTCCCCATCCTCCTCCTCTTCCATCCTCCCCCTCCATCCTCCTCCTTCTCCTTCCACTTCCTTCCCCATCCTCCTCCTTCATCCTCCTCATTCTCCATCCTCTTCCTTCTTCATCCTCCTCTATACCCATCCTTCTCTTTCTCCATCCTCCTCCTCCTCCATCCTCTTCATTCTCCATCCTCATCCTCCTCCGTCTTCATCCTCCTCTATCCACATCCTTCTCTTTCTCCATCCTCCTCCTCCTCCTTGATCCTCCTCCTTCTTCATCATCCTCCTCTATCCCCATCTTTCTCTTTCTCTATCCTCCTCCTTCTTCATCCTCCTCATTCTCCATCCTCTTCCTTCTTCATCCTCTTATATCCCCATCCTCCTCATTCTCCATCCTCCTCCTCCTCCATCCTTCTCCATCCACCTCCTCCTCCATTCTCGCTCCCTTCTCCATCCTCCTCTATCTTCTTCCTTCTTTACCCTCCTTCTCCATTGTCCTCCTCCATCCACCCCCTTCTCCTCATGACAGCCAGACATCTTGCATTTTCAGAAGAATTTTGGGAATGGCAGCCCCATATTTCCGAATCATTTGTTGTTTATCAGCACGCCATGCTCAGGGCTGCAAGATATCCCTTGTGTTGGACCCTCCCTTATGCCTTGCTCATCCCTTCCCCCTCGGGC